GTGATCAACCTAAACTTGCTTTGCATTTCATTTTACTGGACTGAGTGTCTCCCTGGATTCGAATGCTCTGCCATTGTGTTGTGCTCCATTCTTAATATTCTTGCTCAGTCAGGGCGAATGAAATCTGCATATCGTGTTATTGAAAATGTAATTCAGCACAATGGTGACAAACTACCTGAATTTTTGATGAATGGGTTTGTTTGCTCGGAATCCTCCATTGAACTTCTTAATGTACTTTTTTTGATTTATGCACAAAAAGGCATGGTGGAACAATCTGTAACAATTTTTTACAGCATGGTGGGAAATGGCTTCTTGCCTGATGTTCGAAATTGTAAAAGTATTCTTCGGATGCTTATAGGAGGGAATTTGGTAGATAGGGCTAGAGAGATTTATGGAGAGATGATAAGGGTTGGGATCAGCCCCACTGTTGTCACTTTTAATACACTTTTGGATTCCTTTTGTAAAGAGGGTAAGGTTCAAGAGGCCCTTGATCTTTTATCAGAGATGCAGGAGAAAGGGTGCATGCCTAGTGATGTTACTTATAATGTATTGATCAATGGGTTATCCAAGGTAGGCAAAATGGACAAGGCTGTGGAGTTGGTTACAGAGATGCAAATTCATGGGTTGGCTGTTTCCAGTTACACGTACAATCCTTTGATACATGGGTACTGCATTGGAGGAAATCTCAGAAATGCTTTCAAATTCTTCAATGAGATGATAAGCAATGGGGTTTCCCCCACTATCACCACTTATAACACCTTAATCAATGGGCTCTGCAAGAAAGGGAGGTTGGAAGAAGCAAGGTTGCAATTTGATGAGATTTTGAGCAATAATTTAACTCCTGATATAATTTCTTTTAACAGTCTGATATATGGGTACTGTCATGAAAAAAAATTCGAGGAGGCCTTCTGGTTGTTTGATGAATTAAGAAGGAAACATCTCAGGCCCACAATTAGCACCTATAACACTCTCATCTATGGCCTCTGCCAAGTTGGGGCCCTGGAGGAGGCTAAAAGAGTGATGCATGAGATGGTCATTGGGGGGTGCTTTCCTGATACTCTTACATATACGGTTCTTATAAATGGGTACTGCAAAGCTGGTGATTTGATTATGGCAAGGAAGTTTTTTGATGAGATGGTTGGTAAGGGAATGCATCCCAATTGTTATGCATACACGACTTTAATTGATGGTGAGATTAGGTCAGGCTTTGTGGCCCAAGCTTTCCACTTAAAGGATGAGATGGTTTAGAAGGGAATCTCGCCAAATGGAATTACATATAATGTATTGTTAGTTGGTGTTTGCAGGTTGGGTAGTTTACATGAAGCATATGGACTTTTGCAAAAGATGGTGCAAGATGGTTTTGTTCCAGATTCTGTGGCATACGCTTCACTAATTTGGGGACACTGCCAAAAAGGGGAGCTTAGAGAAGCGAGGGAGCTCTTTGGCGAAATGAAGAGGAGGGGATTATCCCCATCCATTGTTACTTACACGGTATTGATCCATGCTCATGCGGCTGAAGGTAGGCTATATATGGCCTGTAGATTTTTCTTTGAGATGATTGAGAGTGGGTTATCACCAGATGAAATCACTTACACTGCTTTGATAAATGGTCTTTGCAAAGAGGGAAGCATAGACCAGGCTTATAGCCTCTTCTATGAGATGGAGGGAAAGGGATTATCCCCCGATAAATACACTTATACTATGTTGATGGATGAGAATTGCAACATGGGTAATTGGCAGGAAGCTATTAGATTGTATGCTGAAATGTTGGGGAGGGGTCTTGAGCCTGATTCTTGTACTCATGCTGTATTGTTTAAGCGATTAAGAAAGGACCACAAAATCCATGCTATTCGAGTTTTGGTGAATGAAGTTCTCAGTAGTGAAATGGTTGCCGAGAATTTTGTGAGGAGTGATGAGTGGGGTGACTCTTCAAACCATGACTACAGAAACTTTTTGGCTGCTATACTAATGAATAAGTTGAATTTGATGCGAGTAACATTCCGCTTGTTAGCCTCTCATTGGTTCGAGTGTTGCTCTTGTATCAACATTTGAATCACTCCAGGAGGAGGTAATATCCTATGCCACTTGTCTTCTTTTTGATCTGCTTTTCTCTGACCATTGCATGTGCCCATTTCGTTTTTTTAATTTGCATCTGCCCTTTCGTTTTTTTAATTTTTTGGCAGATTTGTTCTTATTTTGTCAACTTTGGAATTTTGATGTGTTTTGTTGTTTTAGATTGCTCCAATCCATATATTTCCCAACTGTGATAATGCTTCAGTAATGTTAAGTTGAATGGTGTTTTGGTTTTTCCATGGGTGTATCATGATGGATCCTGGAGCTGGTTCTTTCTAAATCAAGGCTTGTATTATGTGCTACTAAATCAGCTTCATATTTCAGTCAGATATTTAATTTTTAAGTTTTAGATACTTCAAGAACTGAAAGCTTGTATGATATACATCCAGTTATCAATATAGGGGGAAAGAAAAAGAAAAAAAAAGAACTTGCATGATAGGCATCTAATGATTTATGATAGGCATCTAATGATTTATGATAGGCATGTAATAATAGCATGGTGCTTAGTTTTTATTTTGGTAGAAACACTGCATAATGTAATAGAAAAGTTTCTAATCCATAACAGAAATATACTTATGCATTGTGATTGAGATATTTGACATCTGACTATGAATTTTGTCAACATTATATAATTATAAGAAAAGATACATGAACATTATATCAAGTGCGTTGTGTGTGTGGCCAAACATGCGTGTATGAATGTGGTTCATGGCCCCAAATCTATTGGCATCTATCAAGGCTTAGTACCTGGACCCTCCAGAACTAGTGATCATTCCTCTCAATACCTCATTTGGAGGTTTTAGAATGATAGGATGATGAAATCTCAGTCCTGTCATAGCCTAACCATACCTCTTTTCCTAGCCATATATACATAATGATATGCATCTTCAACATATGTATTACATACATAAATTCATGCATGTATCTTTGCATGCACGCATGAGATTTAAAGACGAAGAAAGAAAGTAATATACATATAACAACACTATAGCTGTGTATGATATACAACTTATATTGATGCCTTGATGTATTGCTTTCCATTTTTCAGTATTTCATATGGTACATGTTTGCAGTACATAATGTAGAAACGTATGCATAAAACCTCAGGATATGGTAAAAATGGCCATTTATATACTGTAGCTTCCTCATAGTCTGAAACTCTTTGTTAGAAATAAACTCCAAGTCTTGTTGCTGTACTTATAGAACGTACAGTGATGATAACATATAATAATTACATAATGTATAATTTTGTAGACGTACTGCACGTGTTCAAGTTGCTCTATTTGCCTTTGGTTTGAAAGGGTCAATTAATAATTGAAGAGAAAGTTTGTCACAATTTAGATAACCCTAGTTTATGATGCCAATGGCTCCAAGTTGAATTGGAAATATTTGAATGGACTGCATATATAATTTGTTTGAAGAGACTCCTTTGTCAGAGTTATGGTAGAGGAGGCCCTGCTGCAGTTGGCTTCTTTGTCCCAAGGTCTTATAGTAAACATTACTGATTGCTGAAGAAGGCAATTCATTCTTTTCAATTATTTGCCTAGATATCAGATTCACATGCAATTATGTGTATAAAATAATTTATTGAAACTGAGAAAATGGCTGCCAAATGAAGAAATGTTAAAAAAATATATTGTGATACAGCTATGATGTGTTGTTTTTTCCTTGGGGTTTAAGTTTGAACCATAATTCTATATATTCAAGGTTTAAAATTTAAATTTGAACTTCTTAGATGTGGGATGGTCTTGGGCCATATGACTGATCCCTAAGTCACTGTCTAAGTAGGCTCATCACCAGAGGCTTAATTTATGAAACTGACATGGCTGGAGCTTCTATTTAGTATTTGCAGAGAGTCCAGAGATACTGGAATAGATTGTGGGTGGTTGTGTGTGTTGTTGCATGTTGTTATTTTTCCAATACTGCAGTTGGCACAGATTATGTAGATTTAGCAGCTTCCTCTGTAAAACCTAGTTTTTGATTCCAGTTCGAGGGCCGCTTCTGCAAGTGCTATTATGCACTCAAGTTCTTACGAATTATAATAGCACTATATTTCGGGGTGAGTTGAAATAATAAAGTATGGAACTATACTTTGGAGATTCTCTCCCTCCC